GAACCTCCTCCCTCTAGATGAGATGCTTCCTGTGTCTTCAAGGGGGAGAACCTGGGGGAATGTGTGGAAGACTCGCTTCTTGTGAGGCAGCTTAACTTTTTTTTTTTTTTAAAGATTTTATTTATTTGACAGAGAGAGACACAGCGAGAGAGGGAACACAAGCAGGGGGAATGGGAAAGGGAGAAGCAGGCTTCCCGATGAGCAGGGAGCCTGATGCGGCGCTTGATCCCAGAACCCCGGAATCATGACCTGAGCCGAAGGCAGACGCTTAACGACTGAGCCAGCCAGGTGCCCCACAGCTTAACTTTTTAAAACTTTCATTTAAAAAATGTTTTCATCGCCAGTTTTGTATTTGGAAAACTTTCAAGCCTCCAGAAGAGTTGAGAGGAGAGTATAGTTAGTGTCTGTCCTCGCTGGTGGCTGATGTTCGCTCCATTTGCTTGTGCTGTCTGTCTCAGTCTCTCAACCACCTAAAACTGACAGACTTCAAGGTGCTTCATCTCTAGACACTTCATCTTGAGTCTCCCAGGAGCACAGTATCCACCATATCATCACACCCAAGGAGTTAACTTATTTATCCAACACGCAATCCATATTCAAAATTTCCCACTTGTCCCCAGAATGTTCATTATAATCTTTCCCCCTTCCCTAATCCAAGCTCCCATAGAGACGGAGCTTTCTGTCAGGCAGAGCTGACCTACAGGGGAGTTTCAGAGGTGGTGGTAGGGCTCCCCAGGCTTGGAGGCAGGCAACTAGGGGTGCTGGAGAGAACCCTTTTCCTTCCTGAGGGTCCCAAATTCCAGGAGCCTCAGGGGCCATGCTGGAGCATGTGGTGACAAGGGCCAAGGTGTTGGCTGGCCACAGAGCTGGCAGGAGCCGCTTCTCTGTCCTCCGCCTGTTAGGGGAGCCGGGAGGGAGGCTAGCCCCCACCCTGCAGCATCTCCCAGCTCGGGCGCTCCATCTACAGTGGGACCTGCTGTCCCTTGCTGGCCCCCGCTTGCCACAGCTCCTCAGTGGGCTGCCCAGACCCTCTGCCCACTCTGTCCACTCCTGGCTCCAAGCCCACCCCAGTGTCATCTCAGGGGGTGACAAGGATGACTTCTCCCTGGCCAGAACCTGGACCCTCAAAGGCTCCCTGCTGTTTGCAGGCTGAAGCCCAGAACTCCAGGCCCATCCCGCAGTGACAGTCCACCTGCTGCATACGTGGTAATATTTCCAGACATTCCTCCACCTTCTGGTTTTAGCTTTTAGACCTTTGTGTTTTCAGTTTAGAAAAAAAGTGAAAACATTTTGGAAACACGCAGTTTAGCAGATGAAGTTCTCCTGCGATCCCAGACCCCTGGTGGCTTTATTTTGTATTCTGATCTCCTAGTTTTCAAAAGAAGGAGGCTGAGGGATGGAGGTGGCGGAGGGATAGGTTTGGGTGACCCTCAGAGATATGAGACGATGGGCCACGCGGCAGAAGCCACGTGACTCTGCCTCTACTGAGCTGTGGAGCCTGGGGAAATTCCTGTCGTTGGCCCTGCTTAGCTGCGTCCTCTGCTGTAAAGTTGGGGGGGGTGCGGGTCATAAACCCTGTCTCACTTCCTTTTGAGGTTGTTGACATTAGCAAAGACCAAAACCCCGCAAAGACATGAAAAATCCCACCAGGCTGTACGAGTGGAGTGATTATCGTGGGAACGTGGATGGCAATGGGCGGCGGGACTTGGGCGGGGGACAAAGACACAGAGCTGGAGGAGCACAGTGTGGGGCGAGGGGGTGCCCTAGGTGAGGCGCTGTGACCTTTGTCCAACTCTGAAACCATTGCAAATAACTAGACTTTAAAACAACGTTCCCAAAGTAATCTTGTGCATCGGTGGAAATCGAGAAGCGATGGATAAGCAAAAGGAAAGTAAATACATCACTCGGTGCCCCCACTCAGGAGTAAGTAAACATCCTTCCTGTCTTTTGTGCCTCCTTGTTGTGGGGTGCCGCCCTTGTTCCCATCACCGAGGAGCCAGGCGGGGTGGGGAGGTAACGAGATGGAGCTGATTTGTTCCGTCATTATGTGTACGGCCCCTCCCCTGAGCCAGGCAGCTGACGGAGCCAGGAAGGACACAGGATGGCCCCTGCCAGGAAGAGCATGCCATGGAAGGGAATGGAGTGTTCCATCTTGCGATGATCACAATGGGCTGTGGGTGTTGCGGGGGGGGGGGGTGTCGTCAGGGAGGGCTTCCTGGAGGCGCTGGGCTTTAACCTGGAGGGGTGGGGTGGGGGAGGAGGGCAGTCCAGGGGAGAGGAGGATTGGGTGGGAGTGACTTCCCCCTCACCCTCTTGTGAAGGACTGAGACCTGCTGCTCAGTGCCATTGCCCGCTCCTCTCGGAGGCCTAGAAGCTGCAGGTGCCTGAGGCTGGTCATATGCTCATCTCATAAATATTTCCTGAGCATCTGCCGGGCGCTGTCTTGGTGCTGGGGCCGCCGTGTGGACCAGTCAGGCACTGCCGGAGAGGGACGGGGGAGACTGAGGTGACACATACACGCCGTCAGTGAGGCAGCCGAGAAATAAAAGGGCTCGTGGATGGACAGGGACTGTGGTGTGGGGTGCTGTGGGCAGACAGCATCATCAGAGGCTCAGAGAGGCCTCCCTGAGCGGGGACATTTGAGCCAAGACCACAGGAGGGGGCAGCCGTGTGAACACGCTGAAGAAGGTTCCAGGCAGAAGGGTGGTAGGTGCACAGCCTTTATGAGTAGGCGTGGGCCTGGGGCACTGGAAGAAAGAGGGCCCTGTGGCCTGTGGCTGGAGCGTGGAGGCAAGGAGGACACAGGGTGAGTGAGGGCGGAGGGGTGGGGCCTCCTCAGCAGGGGACAGGCCTGGATGTTGCAGTGTTACCTGATTCTGGGTTTTAAAGGATCCTCTAGCTGCCGCATGGAGGATGGATTGTGGGGGGACAGGAGCGAAAGGGAGGAGCTGGGGGCTGGACCAGGTGGTGGCAGAGGCGGGAGGGCGCGAGAGGGGGCAAACCCGTTCTTCTGTGGGGAGAGTTCCAGAGTGGGCAGAGGACTTGCCCAAAGCCACACAGAGCAGGGCTCTCCAGGTTCATGGTGACAGCCAGGAACAGATGGAAACCTCCCTAGTGGCCTCCCGGACTGACTGAGTGAAATGGGGAGTTAGAACTGTGTGTTAACCCCGCTCTGCCCTGTTGCTTGCTCGGGATCGGAGCCAGCCTTCCGCTGAGCCCGCGTATTCCTCCCAACACTTCCATTTAATAGGCCTTGTCTGGCTGAGGCCCCCAGCCCCGTCAGGGAGGTTCACATCCAGCGGTGGCAGGGAGGGGACGTGGGAAGGAGGGGACAGACGTGCATGAGGATGGGGCCCTGGGGGGGGGGTGGTGATGAGTCGGAGCCCCTGCTGTGCGTCAGGCTGGCTAGCTATTGCTTTCTAGGCACTCACTGATTTCAGCCTCATATAGCCCAACTCAGGAGGCACAGGGACGCCCCTCCTAAACTGACACCCGGGGAAGGTAGCCACACACCGAGAGTCACTAAGGAGTGGTGGAGACATGAATCTGCCAGTCTTGGGCCCCAGAGCCCGCGCTTCCTGGGATTGGAGCCACTGTGTCCCCGACTAGGTCCCGGGCCATTAGACAGTCACTTGCAGCTTCCGTGAGTCCCCACTTCTCTGTCTGGTAAGTGAGAATGTTGGCACGGGCTTCCCGGGAGTCGCCATGCCTGGAACAGGGTCATTAAGTTCTTACCTGCAGCAGGTGTGGGGCTCTACCCTGACGGCCCCCCGCGACCCGAGGGGTGCCCGCTGGACCGAGGAGCACGGAGACTCAGCAGCGCTGTCCTGGAGAAATGTCCCGTGGGCCGCCTGTGTCATTTTAGTCACGTTAAGAATGTGAAAAGAAATAGATGAATGTAATTTTAATAACGTTGTTTAACCCAATATATCAACATAGAATCATTTTGACATGTATCAACATAAGAGATTGTTAATGGGCTATTTTACTTTTTTTGGTACTAACTCCTTGAAATCTGTGTGCGTTTTACACCTCTAGCACATCCCGGTGACATTGCTGGATCGTTAGAAATGGTAAAGCTGTCTTCTAGAGTGGCTGTATGATCTTACACTTCAGTGGCCACATCTGAGACCCACTTTTCTGCACATCCTCACCAGAGCTTACTGGTGTTGGTCTTTTAATGTTTGTTAGTCTAATGTGTTTCCCTGATGATGAATGGTGCCGGGTGTATATTTATATACTTATTTGGCATTTGCATATACCTTCAAATCTTTGCTCATTTTTATTTTTTTTTTAAAGATTTCATTTGTTTATTTGACAGAGACATAGGGAGAGAGGGAACACAAGCAGGGGGAGTGGGAGTGGGAGAGGGAGAGGGAGAAGCAGGCTCCGCCTGATACGGGGCTTGATCCCACATGACCTGAGCTGAAGGCAGACGCTTAACGACTGAGCCACCCAGGCACCCCTTTTGCTCATTTTTAGAAAAGGGTTTTATTTTTAAGTAACCGCTAACCCCAACATGGGGCTCGAAACTACAACCCCAAGATCAAGAGTCGTACACGCCACTGGCCGAGCCAGCCAGGTGCCCCATCTTTTACTCATTTTTCATTGGATTTCTTGTTAATGTGGTACCAAGTTGGTACCAAGAGTTGACACCTCTTTTTTTTTTTTTAGGGTCAGGATTAAATGAGATACTATATGTCAAGTGCTTTGCACCCAGAGATCCACCCATTGGCCTTCCCGGCATCCTGTCTCTGCAGTGAGGGCCACTGGCTATCTCAGGCAGGGTGACCACACACCCTGATTTGGCTAGCGTAATTACACACTTGTGCAATATCTGCTCAACACCATCTCCCTGTGCTCACGACAGAATCTTCCCCTTTGCTCAGACTAGAGGGGGCGGGGCCCAGCCAGGGAGCCTCCGCGTGGGAGGCAGGAGCTCTGGGTTTCAGTTCTGTCCTTGTGACTTGGAACACATCGTGTTCCCTCCCTGGGCCTCCGTTTCCTCATCTGTGGAAAGAGAGGGTTGGACTTGCTGGCCTCCAGGGGCGTAGCCCGCTTGGAAGCTGCTTTTGGGGGCCTGTGGTCACAGCTGGTTGTTGTGGTTCCTGGAGTCACATCTTGTTCTGAGGTGGGACTTGGGATTTTGCAGGAGGGTCTGGGGTCCATCCTGGTGGGCAGGGAGGGAGGAGAAAGGAACGGGGCTGGGGTCAGTAGCTGATGGGCAGCTTTCCGCTTCAGTCCCAAGAGCCAAACTCTGCTTTGGAAAGGCCCACAGGGCTTGCCAAGCATGGAGGTCGCGGCTGCTGCGTCGGGACAGGGACAAAGAAGGTGGGGACTTGTGAGCTTTGGATTACAGATGTGGAAACTGAGACCGGAATGGGGACGATTCAGTTCTTCAGAAACAGACTTAGACTCATGAGGTATTTTGGGCCGAGGCCTGAGGGGTCTGCTCTTGAACCTCTTGCCTGTCCTCCCTGCTCTGGCACCTCCTCGGCTTGAATGCTGCCATTGACCAGAAGCTCATCACTCTGTAGCCTGAGCATTTGTGCTGTAGCATCAGGCAGTCAGTTGATGAGCTGGAGCTCATGTTGAATTGTTCCTGGGGAAACAAGGTCACTTCTCTGCCACGGATTCCACAAATAGGAGGCAGCCTCCCATACAGAACATTTTGGTAGACTTACAGGAGATTTATGAATATCTCTTCATAACTAAGTAGGCAATAAATCAGACACTTGATATAAACGTAAAAAAATAAAACTGAAAGGTCAGAAGGCACATTCTAAAAAATATAATCTAGTAAATAAAAGAGAATGAAGGTTTACCAATAAAGTAAAATTCTCAAGAAACTGTTGAGACTTAGAAAATTATTTTAAAAATTAAACATTTAAATTTTATGCAAAAACAAAAATACTTCCTTATAAGGGCTTTTTATCACTTAGCTCTAAAAAATGTTTTAAAAATTCACAACAGAAATAAGAGGAAATAAAATTTTCTCCCAATTAGAATATTCTGTGAAGCACCTCGTTTTCTCCTAAGTTTTCCTTAAGCTAAAAAAACATAAAACAACAGATAACATTACTGTGGTATAGAGTTAACTGTAGATTCATTGCTATTTTCTTTATCCTGCGGGTCCGGGATGAGTGCAAGCCGTGTTTCCAGACATCAGCACAGCGGCAGTGGGGTGTAAACCACCCGCGAGCTCCATGGCGACCACGTCCCAGTCTCAGCGGCACAGTGGGGATGACAGCCTTCACTCATGATCCGATGAAGTTCTGGACTAGCATAATTGTTTGCAAACCATCCAGGCTCCATGGACCACAACTTTCAGTCTGCCTACATTCCACCCTGCCCTCCCCATTCTTCCCCCAAGCAGAGGTTTGAGCACTAGGGACCCAACTAACACCCCCCCACCCGACCTTGCTGACCGCCTTCCCTGGTAGTGGGCAGTTGGGGTGTGACCACCAGGACCTCCAGTCTCAGGAGCCAGATCTGTTTGAATCTGGAAGAGGCTTTTGGACCATGCCGTCCCTACTGCCATTTTAGGGCTGGGGACATGGGGAAGTTGCTCTGGGCCCTGCAGCATGGGGCCAGCAGGAGGAGGCCCCTGGGCTGATGAGGCTCACTCCTGGCAGGGTGGAGAGGGGTTTCAGGAGGAGTCTTACAGAGTGGGAGGCCTGGAGATCCCGGGGCTTTACCCTCCTCTAGACAGTTTGGAAGCCAGTCAGCTTTCAAAGGATATTGTCCTTCCCCCAGCCCTCTAGCCTGCAGCTATACACATGTGTATTATCTCCTGGCTGCCCTGACAGGGCACCAGCTGGGGCCTGTTGTCGACTGTGGAGCCCGTGAGACACGGGGGTGGCTGCAGCTCAGCCCAAAGCGGGCAGGGCCTGGCCTGGCTGGGCAGCTGTGGGCAGCTGCTGCCTCCTCTAGGCCCTTCCCATTTCCTGTCCCTCATGCCCTCATTTGGGACAGCTACCCGTGCCCCTGTTCCTGGAGGAGACTGTTCCTGTCCATGCCTCCTTGGCCCGGGCTGCTGGAGGGGTCCAGGGAACTTTGGTGAGCTGGGTTGGGGGAGAAGTGGAGAGAAGTTTCTGGCTCTGCTGTTGGCAGGCTGGGGCCCACTGTGGAGCCCCTCATGCTCTCTGAGCAGCCCGTGTTTCTGTTTAGGAACAGAGGCTCATTCCGTCCACGTTTGACAGAGACAGAGAGAGGGAAAGTGGGAGAGAGGGATGGACGGAGGGGGAAATTGGACGGGGTGCGATGGGGCTCTTATAAGCACAAGTGTGCATGTTGACAGAGCTGTTGCATGGCTACTGGGAGTTTTCAAGGATGACAAGGCAGGGCCCGAGGGAGAGAGGGAGCCCTTTCCAGATCGCAGAGGGACAGGGACAGGTGGTGGTTTGGGAAGGTTTGAGGAGGGGTGGATGAGTCTAGTCATTCTGTCTAGGCGGCTCTGGGGAGGGGGAGCCCGAGTACTCAGGGCCTGGGGGAGAGAAGGCCCAGTGAGCTCAGCCTTCACACTGACCCGCTGACCCGCTGCCTCCACCACCCTCTTCCCCAGGTGCCGCTGCTGGTTTCCAGAGGGCGGGGTGGTGGGAGCAGATTGTCCCTACCATGTGGAGCAGCTCACCCTGGGCTGAGGGCAGCTGAGGGAGTTGTTGTGTCTAGGGACGGCTCCTCACACCCTCCAGCAACTCCTCACCCGTCTCCGGCCATTTCCCCAGACATTCTCTTATCTGTTCTCAATAGGCTTTAACTTTATTACCCAGTTAGTGTTCAGAGGAGAAAAAGCAAAAGGAGAAGACAAATGAACTCTCATCTCATCACTTGGTGATAACTCACATTAGCATCTTGATGTGTATCTTCCAGGCTTTTCTCCTGATACACTTTCATGAATTAAAATGGGACTGGAGCCCGTTCTTGCCTTGCAACCTGCTCCTTCTATCCCTGTGTCCTCCATGTCTTTCCAGATCCATCAGTATGATCTTTTCAATGGCTGTTTAACCTTTGACCTTAGAGATGCCCCAACTTTATTCAGCAGAGCCGCTCTTGTTGGCTGGAGGTGGTTCCCCGTGTTTTGCAGTTGTAAACAACACCTCTGGCAGCAACACATCCCAGAAGCCTGGTTTTTGTGAACATTCTTAAGTATTTCTCTGGGAGAGAGCCCACCAGGGGAATTGCTGAGTCCACCAGGGCACCCAGCCTGCCTCGTGGGGGGCGGAATCTTTGGCTGTTGATGGGGATATTGATGATTGGTGATGTCAAGTTCAGGGGCCTGGTGCTTTCACTGAACCCTTGGATGTCCCCAGCCTCATTTTGTGATATTCATGGCTAGAGTGACCTCCTGTATCCTGTTTCCATCCACATTCTCTCTCTCTCTTTTTAAAGATTTATTTATTTATTTTAGCATGCGTGTGTGCGAGAGAGAGAGAGAGCACACAGTGAACAGGGGCAGAGGCAGAGGGAGAAGAGAGAGAATCTCAGACTCCCTGCTGAGCACGGAGCCTGATGCTGGGCTTGATCTCATGACCCTGAGATCATGAGCTGCGCCGAAATTGAGTCGGATGCTTAACCAACTGAGCAACCCAGGTGCGCCCCCGCCTCCACATTCTTCAGAGCCAAGCTTGACTTCCTTCTGCACCTGCCCCAGGTCTTCCCACTTCTGTCCGTCTGGGGGGCCCTGCCTCTATGTGGCCTGACCCAGTCACTTAGAGCCCGAGGTCCTGACCTGGTGTGGAGGGCTAACCCCTTCCTAACGGTCATATTTTTGCCAGGGGAGTATAACCGTAAGGGTTCAGGGGATGTGTCTTTATGTCTCTTCATGTCCGTAACCGCCCCCAAAGCAGAAGCCAAGGGACAGGCGCAGGGTAGGCATTCAGGGAACACTGGGAGGCGGCACACCTGCCCTCTGTCTCCTGCTGCAGGCTGAGCTGGTGCTTTCTGGGCCTCAGACTTGGCATCTGGGTGGTGGGGGTGGAGGTGGAGCTGGGCTAGGTCCCTTCCTGCTGTGGATTTTCCCACCCCTTCCGCACACCCCATGCCTTCTCATCCCGCAGGTTTGGGGTCCTGAGGCTGCCAGCGGACTATGGGTACTACGGCCAGCACAGCCCAGCAGACGGTTTCGGTGGGCGCCCCCTTCGAGGGCCTCCAGGGGGGCGGCACGATGGACAGTCAGCACTCACTCAGTGTCCACTCCTTCCAGACCACAGGCTTGCACAACAGTAAGGCCAAGTCCATCATCCCCAACAAAGTGGCCCCCGTCGTGATCACGTGAGTGGCGGTGTGTGTGTGTGTGTGTGTGTGTGTGTGTGTGTGTGTGTCCGTGTCCCTGGAAGACATGGTTGGGGCAGCTTCCCGGAGGAGTGGTGGCATAAAGCACTGAGTCTACAATTTCATAGATGAAGATCCTGAGGCCCAGAGAGGTTAAGCAGTTTGTCTGGAATAACACAGCAAGCAAGTGCCTGAGTGGGTCTCTGTTGTGGGTCTCTTAGCTCATGTCCATAGGGCCAGGAAGCATGGAGAAGGAGAAGTGGCCGGTGGGGGGACACCCTTTTGAAAATCATTTTTGGCCAAACATTTTCAAACAGAGTTTATATACTAAGGTGCGTAAAATTTAGATTTTTTATTTTTCACAACTAGTAATTATGGTTTGAAACTGAGGTTAATACCAGGTCGTAAAAGAGCTGTGGCTGAAAAAGCTGGAAGCTCTTGGTCACCTCTCTTAATTAGGTCCTTGAGGGACTTTCCTGGAGGAGGCTGAGGGTGGGTTCAAGCACTGTATTTTGAGACACATGGATACACTACATGTGTCCAGAAGAAGAGGGTCCAGAAGGGGTCTCTGCAACCCTGTCTGCCCTGTGGGGTCAGTGAAGGAGTGGGTGCTGGGAGCCAGAGGCCAGGAGGACAAGAGAGGCATGGGCTCTGTCTCCCGGTGAATCGGGAAGCCTCAGCTCACGTCGAATCTGCCTCTGGGCCCCTCCAGCACACAGGAAGTAGGACACAGTGAGCTAAGAATGAACTGTATTCTACACATAGAAGTTTGGCAGAGACCTAGCAGATGGGACTTTGTGTGTCAGGAGACCTGAGGGGTGGGAATGATAAATTGGCCTGCTGGCTTTGGGGCCTGACAGGAAAATTAGAATCCTAATCCCTTACTGTGCTCGTGATAAGGGAAAGAGAAGAGACGTGATATTGTCTCTCTACCAGAGATGACACATCTAGGTTTGGCCCTTGAGGGCAGTGTCGGAGACACACATCCTGGGCTTTGCTCTGTGACCTCAGGCAAATCCTTTCCCCTCTCTCGGTCTTGTTTTTCTTTCTTTCTTTCTTTTCTTTCCTTTCTTTCTTTCTTTCTTTCTTTCTTTCTTT